CTTGAAGAATTACCATCGGTTACTTTGATAGCTTCCTCTAAGAGAGAATGCAGAGTCCCAGTCCCATAATGCAAATTCAGAAACACTTATAAGTCATTATCAACCAAAGAAATCCCTGCATTTGTCATGCAGGCTCCACACTTAAGATAACTATTACTACAGAGGCTCCTAACCTTTGAATTTATCTCAGCCAGTGGCCCTTGCATTTCTTTTCTTTATTTGCATGGATTTTGTACAACACAGAAAATGTCATTTACCAACTTTCCAGCTTGACTGGCAGAGGAAGATCTCAGATTTCTCTTCCTGCATTGTTTCAGTCACAAACAGGCACCCGGGTAGAACCACAAACATTCAATAAACCAGTGCAAGAGTTCTCACATGGAAAAATCTGAAGACCTAGGCAGAGTTGAGAGGCAAATGTTTTTTTTCACTTGGCCATCAAAAGCCCATTGTTTGAGCAATTGTTGAACTTACCATGGTTTGATCTAGGCTAATGTATGGGAGGAACTTCTATAGTAAGCCAACAACTGTCACATTCCTTTGTGGCCTAGTAATCAACAATATACAGATTTATGGTAAGTTTTTAGAATTTCAAAATACTATATAATATATGAGGAACTCGGGAATAGGACAGCATATTGCGGAGCATACTTTCGAAATTTTACGGGCTTTACATTTTTGTTTGTCCAATATTTGAACATCTTTTTTAAATCATCCAATTGAATTGTCTTGAAGTAAGTAATCTCAATTTAATATAATCTGCTAGTTTAAAAAATAGGTGAAATCACAAGCCATATATAAAAAGGAACCATCAAATTTGGCCACTTTTTAAAGTAGCAAGTCTAAATGTTGAAATGATATTATATTCATAGAGGTCATACACTTGGATAATATGAAATGATATTAAGATAATTGTGAGAAACATTTTTTAAAGCTTTTGCAGGATAGGAAATATAAACCGCAATTTGCGGTCCCATTCCCCAAGTTCCTTATAATAGAATTTACATGAAAAAGAAATAATTATATTAAATATTTTACTTTTAGGCTCTAAAACAGACACCTGCTTAATATTTTACTTATATCTTTAAAAATGTTTTTTTGCAAAAACCACCTAAAGCACTTGTAAAATACCAAGAATTTCTTGCTCTTAAAGGGATGAATTTTCTATCCTTAAAGCAGCTGCTCCAGATTTATGCCAATTTCCATGAAAATGTTATTTCAAGTAAAACCAGATTAAGTGGACAAAGGGATGCAGGACACTTACAATTCATGTAAATTTTCCAAAATAAAGAACAAAATATGCCAAAAATAGCCTCTGAATCGCTTTCCACATTGTAAGCAACACAAAAAGAATATATTGGTTGATATAAAATCCCTGAAATCCTCAGTCAGTAATGTTCACCAGATGTAAATCATAGTCTGTGTACTTTCATATCTAATAAATGCTGTACTCGCTTAGATATTCCAGAAACTCATTTATAGACTCCATTGAGGCAGGTGATGTCATTTAAATATCAACAATCAAGAGATAATTTAAAAAGCTTCTGATTCTGAATATAATTCTTCAAATGCATCATTTATTAGATATTTACATAATGCTGTTATCCGAATTTCAAAGAATGAGTTCTTGAAAAAAGACATTACATGTAACTCATAAAGATTTATGTTTTTACCTATATATATTTAGCCTTAATAACTAAATTCAATTCTACACTCTCAGAAGAAAGAATCAGTTTTAAATATAATGGTCTAAGAACCTGCGAGTCTCCGTAGACTTAGCCTGTTTCTTATAGTATATGAATATGTCCTAGAATCCATTTGTATAACTGTCAGACATGAAGAGGTGTAGCCATCATTTACTCTTATTGTTTTCATACAGATTTTTATTTAACACTTTTCAATCAAATCTGCACTCCAAAAATTAGGCATAAAAAAATCTAATATCAATTTTATACTGTGTGTATTTACATATCATCTATTACTTGGTTTCACAATTTAAGTGTAAGACATTTCTATATTACTATTATATCATCTTAGGACTATTGGCGACCATTCAGTAGAGTTCCTTTAAGGTTAATCATCATTATATAATATGGTTGATAGTGAAACAAAGTATGTTTAGCTTCTCACAAATCCACTATCTCATTGAGGCGTGCATGTTCGCGGAGCAGAAGGCACACGCAGGTCAAGGTCAAGTCATCTTAAGTACCCAGAGGTGATGGGGTTGACCTGTTTCGTGAACATATAAACTCTAGTGAGAGGTGTGGCGCTAATGAGAGCCGTTTTTGTTATCCAGTCAGTATGGAACATGATGCCTGGCCAGTATTGTCGTTACTCCTCTACCACCAACGAACAAAGAATGGGCTACAGGAAGATTCAGCTTGACAAAGACGTCCCCGATGAGACTACCTTAGTGGACCGGCAAGGATGCTTAATTCTCGGACATATGGAATTTCCGGCGCCGAGTATAAATAAACTGAAATAGAGAGACAAAGTATATTGCTTATTTGAACCATTTAAAGTAAAATTCTGGAACTTACCAGTACTCACTGGGTGTCAAATTTATATTATCTTTCTGGATTTAACCCTGACTTTAACGTAAACATACTGTAATGCTTTCCTGCAAAAAATATTCCGCAAAATGATATTTTTTCAAAAATTTGCTTACATAAACTTGCCTTTCTTAAAAGAATCAGATAAATTTACAGCTTATCCTTGCTAACATTTTACATTCACTTCAATAACCATGGTCAGATCTACAAATTTGAAAAAGGACAGAATTAATCACAACTTGGTTGTTAATATTTTTCTGAGGCATATCTGTGGCTGTATACACTGAGTGACATGATGTAAATCACTTTAAAGAATTAAGTTTGAATATTGTTAAATATTCCAGTAGTTTCTGGGGGTTTTTGTTGTTGTCTGTTTAACTAAAACTGGTTATAACCTCAATCACTCCAGACATAATGAACATGATGGGCAAAATGTATAATATTTAATATGTAAAATAACAATACAAAATTAATACAAGATTATTTTCTCCCCCTCTGCTTTTATCATGGCTTGGGACATGCTAGTAGTTAAAACTGCACACATCCCGGTATTTTTTAATTTTTGAATTCAGGATTTTTTATGAAATTATACTTTTTTTCAATTCAAGTCAAAATTTGCTTTTTTTTATGGCAAATAAATAGTATTGATTAACTAATTTTACTCTAATATTAAATAAATATTATATACTGTTGCTAGATAAAAACTAAGACATAAAATGATACATTGTCTTAATTCTGACTTTGTAAGTTTTCTAAAGAACATTAAATCTAAATATTTTACTAAATCATTAAGACATATAATAAAATATTCCTAATAAAAACAACATGAATCTGGGAGTGTGCTGTTTTAAAACTAGGCAGCATTGGGAGAAGTGTTGAGATTGTCAAAACCATGAAGCTCTGAAATGTTGAATGGATTTAAGTCAGTCACTGTACGTTGTAGGGTTCAGGTCACAGTATGTTGTAGGGTTCAATGTCTTTTCTAGAATTTCAAAAAGTATGGGTGAATCTCCCCCCTCAGTAAGAAATAGGTTTTTCAAAAACAAAGGGTGCCAGTAAAAAGAGTAATTGTGTAAAAAAATTCAATTTAAATAAAAAGGTAGCTAGATTAGGTTTTTATTCATAGAAACAAATCAGGGACGGCTCAACTAGAATATGTCTGCAGCTATTTTTATCATATTACACATTATTATCAATAAAGAGTTATGAGTAAGTGTTAGTGTTATGTGCTAGGGTTAGAGTTAGGATTATTGAACATGAATTTTGCTGCAAACAGATTCTAAAAGTGCCGTTAAAAACTTTATAGTAAAAGGAGTTGTCCAAGAAAAATTAGCCGTGTCATGACAAAACCAACATAATGGGCTTGCGACCAGCATAGTCCAGGCCAGCCTGCGCATCCGCGCAGTCTGATCAGGATCCATGCTGTTCGCTAACTAACTCTTTTACAAGTAGAGAAACTGATAGCGAACAGCATGGATCCTGGTCAGACTGCGCGGATGAGCAGGCTGGTCTGGATCCATGCTGGTCGCAAACCCATTATGTTGGTTTTGTCATGACACGGCTCAAATATTGATTTTATTTAGCAAACAGTGATTACCTCCCTTGGCAAATTGTAATCACTACACTAACAAAGGGAGATCACTGTAAAGGAGATTGTTTATTTAGTTCACAATTACCCCCCTTAGGCTTCCCCATGTTCATGTAAACAAAAAAAGTTGTCTAGACCTTTATGCTTTTTGAAAAAAATGATCAATTCAGATGCAGGATTTCACGCACGTTTCCAAAATGTGCACAATCTTTGAAAATATAGTGTGAATCCTGCATTAACTAGTCCTAGAATAGACACTGAGGTTTAAGTCACAAGTACACACATCTCCCACCATTCAACGGCCGCCAAAGAGCTTCAATAAATGCCAAAGGTCTCTGTCTGACCAATAACCGGAAAAAGTTTTGGTCTTAGGTTGCATGGGCCTAGTAGTTAAAGTAAATAAGTCAAAAAGCTTCCCCAATAAATAACTATTAGGAAAGCCATGACCGGTTCGTTAAGTCTTGTAAATTAGTCAATGTCATGGTCAATGTCATTACAAAAGCTAGTAAGATCAAATATTTTGATGGAGAGGTTTGTCACAACTGGTATATGTCAATGATGAATGGTCCGTACCTACATAATCTTGTCTGGAGGAAAACTTTGTATAGATATTAAAGAAAGTTTTGTAAAGATCGAGATAAAGTTAGATAAGAATAAAGTAGAAAATCTGTCATATCTGCACTTCCCCTTCATGGCAGAACTATGATGGGGAGGTGCAAACAATCAACAATCATGCATGCCAGGAGACCTGGAATTAACTTTCATCTGTCTAGAAAGCCAATTGTTTTTTTTCTTTTTCATCTACATTTTCTCAACCGAATTATCTTCTTTTTTATTCATTTGCTTTCCATACATGATGATTTATTTCACTTTCAAATTTCATTTCATTCAACTCTCCTCTAGTTCATTCCATTTCCTTGACTATTTTACAATTTTTTTTCCATTTCCTCGACTGTTATTCAATTTTTTCTATTCCAATCTCCATATATTCTCTCCCTTTCCATTTATTTTCATTCATTTTTCACTTTCACATCTCCATTTTTCAAAAATGTCTATTGCTGAGCTCTTGTAGTTCCTTCATTTTTTCCTATTTCAAACAATGCTTTCCATTTTTCACTTCACTGACTTTTCATGTCCTATTCATATTCTCAAAACTTCACAATGTTTTCATTCTCATTTCTTTCCAGGCAATTCACTATATCCTTTTCTATTCATTTCACTAACCACAACATATTATTCAAAATGGCATTTATTTATGTCCCTCCCGTCACAATAAATACAATATTATACCTTTTCAATATTTTACCTCTCTGTTCTGTACATGCCTCGTCTTTCACAATGCTCAGCAACTAAAAACACTGCAATTCTTACCGTCTTGTCTTGATAACACGATGGAAAATATCATCTAGTGCTCACCGTTTAACAACTTTTTCTTAAAAAGAGAAATGCAAGTTATTGTACATTATACATTCTTTACAACTAATATATCCAAATAAATTATTTCAACTGATGAATAATTTCATATTAAGTTATTTTGCAAAATTCTTTACTAATTACATATCTATGATAGGTCGGTGGTTCTACTCAGTCAACAACGAAATAGAAAAAAGTATAATTAATTTACAACTTTTACTTGGAATAAATGTTAATACATTTGTAAATCATTGAAACTTTCTTACTATATAATGGAATCATTGTCCCGTCAGATCAACACACACACTACATCATTTTTCTAATGAACCATCAGATCTCCTATAAGAAAAATACAGAAGAATTGGTTAACATGAATGATGACCAATTAGTGAATCAACAAAGAGTACAAATGGCATTAATTTGACAAATTATCAAAATAGCCGTCATTAGCTCAAAAGGCTATGGTGGACTCAATATTTGGACTATAAATCAGGCTACCTAATTTTGATTCTGACGGGGCAGGTCACATTCCTTGTGATTGATCAAGAAATCCTTTCTATGGTCATTTGCCCTGTACTTCTGCTCTGGCATGTACAGAAGTAATCAGTTCCTTGTGTAAGTGAAGGCATTCAGTACTGGTAAACATGCATGACAGCCTGCCCAGTAACATTGCAGTGGCCAAATTGAGCTCTGGTAAATTCAATGTGGCTTATTGCTGTGATCTGGAGTGAAAGCTACCTGCCACTAAATTATCAAATTAATAAGACCTGTCAAGACCTGTCCAAGGACAGAAAAAAAATTGCTCCCCTTAAAATAGAAAGTAGAAACGGGGCCATAATTCACCAGAGTGCCTTGTAGAGTTACTTGCCCTTGATAGCAGTCAATGATTTCAAGTTTATAGCAAATGTGTGATGCTTTTTGTTTTTAAATATAATTAAATGTAAAGAAACAAACTTAAAATCTTAAATATAAAGGGAGACAATTAAGCAAAACTAGTCAAAGTTATCTGTTCATTAAAAAAAATGCATACCAATTTGATACAGCATTTTTTATGTGAATAATTATAATTATATGATAGCTTATTTGAACGAGAAATTTTGTCAAAAAAGAGCAAAAAAATTGATAGCAAATGGCCATACATGTGAACTTTTTTCAATGATCAAGAGGGAGATTTTTCTTCAAAAAGAGGGAGATTTTAGAATTTGCAATAAACAAAGAAGGAAGTTCTGACATCAAAAAATAGGGAGATTTCTTTAATTTGTGAAAATACGCCTTATTTTAAGAAAAATCTTTGAAAATATGGCTGAAGAAAGTGGGAGTCTCCCGCCTAAAGTGGGAGAGTTTACATGTATGAATGGCAGTGGTATGTTATTATATATAAATCATATGCATTCTACTTTGCCATATGTATAACTGTGACAAATAGAAGCTGTCATCGATAGAGACAATATCAAAGTATTGTTAATATTTTTGTAGAATCTAGATCAATAATCAAATACATTTAAAAAAAAAATCAATAATTTTGATTACTTGGTAAGAAAATGGAAATAACTAGAGGAGAATCAACTGTCCACAAATTATGAAAATTCCCCCAAAACATATAAAAAAGGAAGTGGCCATTATTCCGACACTAAGGCATACAATTTTGTAAGTTACGTTTAATAAATTACATCATTCTAGTTTGATCAGGCCTAAAATAAAATGAGCCGTGTCATGACAAAACCAACATAATGGGTTTGTGACCAGCATGGATCCAGACCAGCTTGCGCATTTGCCCAGTCTGATCAGGATCCATGCTGTTTGCTAACAGTTTCTTTACTTGTTATAGGGTTTGTAAATGAACAGCATGGATCCTGTTCAGACTGCGCGGGTGCACAGGCTGGTCTGGATCCATGCTGGTAGCAAACCCATTATGTTGATTTTGTCATGACGCGGCTCAAATATAGTTCCCTCTCCCACAACATACCCACCAAAATTACAGCTACCCAAAAAATTTAATTGCTTAGCAAATTCTTTTTTTCTTTTACTAAACATGGAAACAGAGGGTGCCAACAAGTGTGTCACATTTTTATTTTAGTCTCCTGTTCCTATAATTGTGAAGATAAAAATTGGATATATGTTGAATAAATATGGTTCTAACCTTTTAACCAATGTTAATCATTCACAATTTGTTTTATAGAGGCTCATAGGGAAGACTGGGCATGCTCAACTATGTTGCCTCTTTGCCTGTTAATTCTTTATTATTATTATTATTTATAT